TTTAGCACCACATCTCCTGCCCTCTCCTCCCCCACCCTCCTTTGGGGACTCCAAGTGTGTGTGTGTGTGTGTGTGTGTGTGTGTGTGTGTGTGTGTGTGTTCTCTAGAAGTTCAACTTGTATGTTTCTATTTCTTCCATGTCTCCTTAACATGCTTGTATTTTTTCTAACTTTCTCAAGCATTTGGAATATAGTTATAATGGCTCTTTTAATGTCTTTGTCTACTGTCTGTGTTGTTTATGAGTCGTGTTCAGTTGATTGTTGTTTCTTTTCACTATCAGACTGTCAGTCATATTTCCCTGCTTCTGCATGTGCCTGGTAGTTTCCTACTGGGTAGCAGTCACTGTGGGTTCCACATCATTGGTGCCAGGTGCGTGCATGCATGCGTGTGTGTGTGTGTCTGTAATGTTAAGCTTTGTTCTAGGGTACGGTAAATTACTTTGGAACAGTTTGATCCTTTGAAGGGTTGCTCTCTCCCCCACTACCCAAAGAGTAAGTTAAAGTGTTTTCATTGTGTTCATGTGTTATCTGAAACCATTCTTTTATGTGGAAATGAGAGCACAGTAGGAAATGTGGGCATTTTATGTACCAGTTAACAAGGAATGAGATACAAAATACTCATATTTACATACCAAAATTATTGCAAATAAAAAGTTGTCCCTAGACACTATTGATAACGCCTCTTAAAATTATTTTGAATATAAGAGAGGGTCCTATATTGTCTACAACAGCAGAATTAAATTGGATTGTTTAATACTGCCTGAGGACCAGTTTATCCTTTTTTATAGTTAAATGATCATTTTATTTTATTTTATTATATTTTAATTGAAGTGTAATTAACGTATAATATTATATTAGTTTCAGGTAAACAATCTAGTGAGTGATGCAACGTTTATGTATATTACAAAGTGATCACCAGTATAAATCTAGCTCCCATCTGTCACCATACAAAGTTGTTACCTATTATTAACTGTATTCCTTATGCTGTACATTGTATCCCTGTGTCTTTTTTTTTTTTTTTCCCCGTAACTGGAAGTTTATATCTTTTAATTCCCTTCCCCTACTTCTGCCTAGCCCTCCATCCCCCCTCCCCTCTGGCAACCACCTTATTGTTCTCTGTGTCTGTGAGTCTGTTTCTGTTTTGGTTGTTTTGTTTTTTAGATTCCACATATAAATGAAAGCATTCGGTCTTTGTCTTACTCATTTCACTAAGTATGATACCCTCTCCATCTATCCATGTTGTCACAAATGACATGATTTCATTTTTTTTATAGCTGAGTAATATTGTATTGTATATGTACATACCACATCTTTTTATCCATTCATCTATTGATGGACACTTAGTTTGCTTCTATATTTTGGCCGTTGTTAATAACGTTGCAGTAAAGATAGAAGCAGTATGTACTTTTTCAAATTGGTGTTTTTGCTTCCTTGATACAAATACCCCGAAGTGGAATTACTGAATTGTATGGCAGTTCTATTTTAACATTTTTGAGGAACGTTCATACTGTTTTTCCACAGTGGCTGCACCATTTTGCATTCCCACTAATGGTGCACAAGGGTTACTTTTTCTCCACATCCTCACCGACACTTGTTATTTCTTGTCTTTTTGGTACTAACCATGCTGACATGCCTGAGGTGACATTTTATTGTGGTTTTGATTTGCTTTTCCCTGATGATTAATGATGTTCAGCATCTTTTCTTGTGTCTAATGGTCATGTGTATGCTGTCTTTGGAGGACTGTCTAGTCACATCCTCCGCCCATTTTTTAATTGGATTGTTTTTTGACATGGAGCTTTGAGTTCTTTATGTATTTTGGATATTGATCCCTTATCAGATCTCTTATTTGCAAATATTTTCTTCCATTCAGTAGGTTGCCTTTTATGTTCATGGTTTCCTTTGCTGTGCACAAGCTTTTTACTTTTTTTATATATTTCCTTTGAGAGAGCATGCACGTGCATGAGTTGGGGAGAGGCAGAGAGAGGGAGAGGGAATCCCAAGCCGGCTCCACTTAAACCTCATGAACCAACTTCTGCTAGCTTCACACTCAGCTGTGGGTTTGTCATCTGTGGCCTTTATTATGTTAAGTTCCTTCTATCCCTACTTTGTTGAGAGTTTTAATCAGAAATGGATGTTGAATTTTATTAAGTGCTTTTTTAAAAAATTTTTTTTTAATTTTTTAAAATTTATATCCAAATTAGCATATAGTGAAACAATGATTTCAGGAGTAGATTCCTTAATGCCCCTTACCCATTTAGCCCATCCCCCCTCCTACACCCCCTCCAGTAACTCTCTGTCTGTTCTCCATATTTATGAGTCTCTTATGCTTTGTCCTCGTCCCTGTTTTTATATTATTTTTGCTTCCCTTCCCTTATGTTCATCTGTTTTGCCTCTTAAAGTCCTCATATGAGTGAAGTCATATGATTTTTGTCTTTCTCTGACTAATTCACTTAGCATAGTACCCTCTAGTTCCATCCACGTAGTTGCAGATGGCAAGATTTCATTCTTTTGATTGCTGAGTAATACTCCATTGTGTATATATGTACCACATCTTCTTTGTCCATTCATCCGTCGATGGGCATTCGGGCTCTTTCCATACTTTGGCTACTGTTGATAGTGCTGCTATAAATTTTGGGGTGCATGTGCCCCTTCAAAACAGCACACCTGTATCCCATGGATAAATGCCTAGTAGTGCAATTGCTGGGTCGTAGAGTAGTTCTGTTTTCAGTTTTTTGAGGAACCTCCGTACTGTTTTCCGGAGTGGCTGCACCAGCTTGCATTCCCATGGTTTTTATCCTTTTTGTTAATGTGATGTAACACATTGATTTGCAGATATTGAACCATCTCTGCATCCCCGGATAAATCCCACTTGATCATAGTGAATGGTCCATTTATTATATTACTGAATTCAGTATTTGTTAGTGTTCTGTTGAGGATTTTGCATCAATATTCCCTCAGGGATATTGACCTCTAATTTTGGTGGTGTCTTTGGTTTTGGTCAAGTCCTGCTTTTAAGTGTCGTTTGGTGGGAGTAGAGCAGCCTGTAGAGTAGTGTTTCTCAACCTGTTTTTCATTATTGCCCCCTCTCCTCCAGTCCTTTATGGCCCCCTATTTACACCCTACTAATGAAACTTTAATGCCACAGTTGTAACAAATATCTGTTTGTGTGTTATTTGTATTTCTGGTCTTTATACATTAAAAAAATATTTTTGGCTGCTCCATGCCAGACCCAGTTTTTTTTATACCTTGGGGTGTGCTGTTGCCCTTGTTGAGAATTCGTGATCTAGGGCGAATTCTCTACTGGTGACATGTTGCTCTCATATGTGCTGTGCCCAGTGCCCTGTGCATTTAGTGTGTTGTGGAAGGAGATCATTCCAGTCCCTGGTACTCCATCTCCGTTGGAAGCAGAGCCCCACTCCCTCCCCCCCCGATCCTGGCGGTTTCTTATTACACATACTCTACCGTACAGCCCAAGCATTCCACTCCAAAATAGTGATGCAAGAGAAATGAAGACAGAGCTGTGCGAAATGAGCATATGAATGTTCGTGGAAGCTCTATTTCTAAGAACCAAAACCTGAGAGCCATCCATATGTCCATCGAGAGGTGAATGGATAAGCTGGTTTTAACCATACGGTAGAGTATTGAACAGTAAAAAGTATTATGATAAAGTACTGAAACATGCAGCAATATGGATGAATCTCAAAATCATACTGAGTCAAAGAAGCCAGCCCCCCAGAATACATTCTGTGTGATCCCATTTATATAAAACTCAAAAATGCAAACTAATCTACAGACAAAAAGGAGGTTGCCTGGGGTTGGAAATGGACTGAGGGATTGATCACAAAGGAGCATGAGGAGACTTGGTGGAAGACGAAATTTTTATTCTTTATTTATTTGGTGGGAGTAGTTTCATGGGCAGATGTCAGAACTCAACAAATGAAATATTGTAAATATGTAAGGTTTACTATATGCCACTTGTATATGTCAGTAAAGCTGTAAAAAAGGTAAATAAAAAAATGAGAGGCTTGGAGTTTTGGGGGGAATGTGTATTTCTCCTTTGTGACCTCTGTGCATAAAAATTCCCAAGTGCAGGTTATGATAGTTTTTCAAATTTATGTTAGTAGTGAAATTTAATTTGCTAACAGTTTGAAAGAGCATTTGAACTTGCTTCAGGCAAAATTGTGTATGTATAAAGTGCACGATTATAGACTTAATGCCGCTGGTTGCTCCATTCTGCTCTAAGGGAAGTGAGTAGGTGTTAAACAGATTACGCCACCCTCAGAACCTGTGGGCTGTGGTGAAACAGTTGTGATTTCTGTAGACTAGGTGAATGTGGGTCCAGATAGTGCCCAGAATTTGGCTATCTCGCCTCACATTTTTGGACAGTTTTGGAAGTTGCATGCTTATTTTCTAATTTCCTAGAAGGTAATGGTAATAAAAATTTCAGGTAGAGTATGCCTTCAGAAAAGTTTATATTGTATAATTTGCTGGAGTTTTACGCAGGAAATACATCCATATGAATAGCACCCAGATACAGAACACTACCTGGTACTGGTCATTTTTCTTTTTTTTTTTTTTTTTTTTTTTTTTTTTTTTTTTTAATTTTTTTCTTCTTAACGTTTATTTATTATTGAGAGACAGAGGGAGACAGAGCATGAACATGGGAGGGGCAGAGAGAGGAGGAGACACAGAATCTGAAGCAGGCTCCAGGCTCTGAGCTCTCAGCACAGAGCCCGACGCAGGGCTTGAACTCACAAACTGTAAGGTCATGACCTGAGCCGAAGTCGGACGCTTAACCGACTGAGCCACCCAGACACCCCTGGTCATTTTTCAAAATCAAGTGCTGGCTGGGCTGATTAATTAGGTGAGCTTGAGCACCTGCTGAGTAACTGACCAGACCACTCCGTTTTGAAGTTTCTGACCTGGGGAAATTGTTCTGTTTACTTTTATTCGTCTAAACATAGCTTCTGTTTTACTTAATCAAATATTTTCTCTTGGCAGTGGACTCTCAAAGAATTGACCGGGAGGAAAAAATCCCAGATGAAACGTTAGAGAAACTGAAGAGCCTGGGTCTTTTTGGGATGCAAGTCCCAGAAGAATATGGTAAGTAAAGGAAAGCACCACCCTGCTGGCTCTTAAGAAAGTGCTTCATATTTGCCCCAAAAAAGGGTTCTGTTTGGGAAAGGTGGCCTTTAAATGCAGTATGTCCAAGATCAAGCTCTCTAAGTGCTGTAATTAATAAAAACCCACATCGTGGATCAAATCTGGGGTAGCTGGCAGGTGACTGTGTGGACTAAGGGACTTTGGGGCAGGAAGAGCTGCTGAGGCCTGTACTTTGTTCACTTGACATGGATCAGGTCCGCTCAGGGTGCCTATGCTCTCCAGGTCCTTGCGGGGCAGAGAAGGAGGTGTGTATCACCTCGGAGCCTCATTGGCTGATTTCAGTGTCTTCTGCACTGTGAGGCCCTTTGGTCTCTCTGCAAAGGAATTGCCCCAGAGCTGCGAGCCCTTTGTGGGAGGGACGACTGTGGGGTGAGAGCTCAGGTGTCAGGATCCGCCAGGGTGCTTCCCATCCTGGTGCAGAGGAATAAGGCACATGGCTATAGGACACAGGTGCCTGGAGACAGGAGACTAGATGAGTGAGAACATTCAAGCACGGACTGTCCCTGTAATTCCTGGATTATTGTAGTGATATTTTTAGTCCCCAAATGAAAGACCCTGTCTTTCTCCCCAGGATCCTCGTGTAATTCTGCCTTCTGAGATTTGGTCAATGACTACTACTCTCCCTCTTTCTTCTGCCTAGTCTAGAGTTGGTGACCTAAATTCTGTAAGGGTTAAGGGGACAGGCAAGAAGTTGGGGGGGGCGGGTGAAGGGCACAAGGAATAGAGAAAGTGTCACATGAGCAAAATACAGTCACACACGGGTGTGTGCACACTCCGTCCCCTTCGACATAAAAGTGTGGCTCCAGGCTCCACAGCCTGTAACCTGCACCCATTACTCTGTGAGCCCTCTGCCTGAGCCTTCTCTGGCGTCGCTTCCCCCTTTGATCAGCTAAGAGCTGTTGATGGTGCTTTAAGGACCTGGGCCTGTTTCTTGTCTGTGAGCTGGTCATTTGGACATTTAATATTTTGGGCATTTTTCCAACCAGGTCATGAGTTAGGTTTTGCAGAGCAAGACACAGAAGTCAGGAGCTTTTCTCGGTATTTTGTCTCCCTACCTGGTTTATCTCCAGAAGTTACAGTTAGGCCTGTGTTGTTCCTCTCCCACCTCTGTAGCCAGGCACCCCTGGGGGGCCTCAGTGTCTACAGAATAAGTTCCCACTGGTACCCAGTCTGGAGCTGGTCCAGTCTGAGACCAAATGTGAACATTTAGGACCAACTAGGTGTAATGGAGTGCAATGCTGGATTGATTCTGAAGCGTGTGTGTGTGTGTGTATTTTAAGTTTACTTATTTTGGGGGAGCGCAGAGAAAGATGGGGAGAGAGCGAGAATTCAAAGCAGGCTTTGCCCTGTTAGTGCAGAGCCTGACACGGGGCTTGAATTCACAAACCCCGAGATCATGACTTGAACTGAAGCCAAGAGTCAGACACCCAACCCACTGAGCCACCCGGGCGCCCCGATTCTGAGGCATATTTTTTTTTAACGTTTGTTTATTTTGGGGAGTGAGAGCATGCATGCATGGTAGAGGAACAGAGAGAGAGGGAGACAGAGGATCTGAAGCAGGCTCTGCCCTGACAGCACAGAGCCCAGTACAGGGCTTGCACTCACAAACCGTGAGTTTACATGTGTGTTTATTGCAGCATATTAAGGGATTAAACAGTTGTCATTTGTCCTTTATGAAATAGCTCTCCTCACATCCCTACATGTGTAAAAACAGCCCCCTGCAGAGGCCACGAAGCCATCAGTGACGCTGCATCCCCTGTGGCAGGGCGTGGCAGCATGCACGGCTGCAGAGGACGCGACACGTCCTGGGTTTCCTTGCCAAAACCTGTAGCCTCTGTGTGCGCTGGGGGGAGACTGAGCTCTGCCCAGACTTGGGAGGCTTGCCCGTGTCCGAGCTCACAAGGGACACTGTCCCCCATGGTGTGTGGTCCTTGGTAAATACTAGAACAGAACGAAGGTGCAGGCAGAGCCAGAGAGCTAAAGTGGGTCTGTCATCAGCTATAAATACATACATACCTACCTACCAGCCTACCAACCTACCAACCAGTCGCTTGGAGAAAGCATAAGTGGGGAAGAAAGCCTCTAGACGTACGCAGGTTAGTAATAGTATATATTTCCCCTTCAGAAACATTTTTAAATTCCCTCTTGCTTGGTGAAAAGGACTTCATTTTTTCTGCAGACACTTTGTGTCCGTTTGGGATGTGACTTCACCTGTGCGTGTGTGTTCTGTGCCAGCACGTGTGGGCGGGGGTGTGTGTTGGCATGAGGTTGGACAACTCTGCACCCCTCGTTTTGGTTTACGTGCTGTTCTCTGGTGTGAAAATGTTCGTTCTTGCCTGTGACGAGTTTGGGCCTTTTTTTTCTCTTTTCTTTTTTCTTTCTCTTTTTTATCCTTTCTAGGGAATTTTAAGACAAGCACGACCTTATGGGTGGGCCCCAAATTTTTGAGGGAAACATTCCCAGTCTGGAGTATTCTGAAGACTGGCTGGAAACCACCATCCTGGAAAACGGGGGCCCTTTTGCCAACCGAGCCTGGATTTTCTCCCCCAGGCCCCTGTGTGCTGCCCAGTGTGTGACCGTTTCCTGTCTCAGCCCCTCCCCAGCCAGCCGTCTCCACTTACCCGTCATCTGTCTCCATGTGATTGCGTTCCCCCACAATTGTAGTGATACTTACATCAGGGGAAAAGCATCAGAATTTTTTTTTTTACATTATGTATTTATTTTTGAGAGAGGGCACAAGTGGGGAGGCTGGTTACAGAGAGAAGGGGACACAGAATCAGAATCCGAAGCAGCCTCCAGGCTGTCAGCTGTCAGCACAGAGCCCAACGCAGGACTCGAACTCACAAACTGTGAGATCATGACCTGAGCCAAACTTGGATGCTTAACTGACTGAGGCACTCTGGTGCCCCCCCCCCCGCCCCCCACCAGCCCTTTTCTTTTAAACAAACAGTACTGACTCCCTCAGTATATGAAATGAGTAAGACCAAAACTTTTGTTTGCAACTGAGGCATGGATGGAGTAGGGGGCGTGGGGATGGGATACCGTGGAGCCCCGGCCTTCCCTGGGTACTGATCCCAGGGGACTGCACGTCAGGCGGGGCTGCCCTCCCCTTTATGTGCACCTTCCACATTTGGGCCGTGCAGGGGGCTCCAGGGCCAGGACCCCACCCGAACTCAGGGCCCAGCTATGCTGCGTGTTGGCCACATGACCCTGGGCCCCAGTTTGTCACTTTTAAGATGCACATAGGCCACCCAGCTTCCTCGAGGTTGAAGAGGAAATGCAAAATACATGAGTTCAATGGAGTTTTTTATTTTTTTAAATCTTTGTCTTCTTCCTAGAAAACTTCCATCCAGGGTGAATTACTACCCCCCCACCCCCCAGGGAATGTTTGGCAATGTCTAGAGATGTCTTTGGTTGTCAAAACTGGGAGAGGGGGAGCTATTGGCATCTCGTGGGTGGAGGCCAAGGTTGCTGCTAAACATCCTGTGATACTTTGAACAGTCCCCCACAGCAAAGAATGATCCATCCCAAAATGTCAGTAGTACTAAGGCAGAGAGGCCAGCCCTGGAGTCCACTGGATACCAGGAGTGGGATGCTAGACAGCTGTCTTGTTTATAAAGATCTAGGTCTGTGACAGAAGATATTCACAACATTTTAAATGGTTTAACGCGTGTGAAGGTACTCTTTTTGTATTAAATGTTATGTTTTTATGATAAAAATATATGCTTATATACCTAAAAAAATCTGAAAGGAGGTACACAAAAATGCTCTGGTAAGTTTATGGGTAATTTTTGTTTTCTTCCTACCTTTCTGTAAGTATGACTTCTTAAACTAGTGATCTGGTATTACTTTACAAGCAGATAAAACAGTCAGGGTCTTTGCCTTCAGTGGGAGGAATTTGGAGCTGGACCATAAATAAGTAAAGCTGGTCTGTTTTTTCTTCAGGTGGCCTGGGGCTCTCCAACACATTGTATGCGCGTATGGGAGAAATCGTCGGCCTGGATGGGTCGATCGCCGTGACCCTGGCAGCACACCAGGCTATTGGCCTCAAGGTCAAGTGTCTATGGCTTCTGTCTGATGCTCTCTGTTGGTCTGGAGTCACACGGTGGCATTGAGGCCGGAGCCTTGCTCGTTTTTACCAAGAAGTGAATTGGGCTTGCCGTGTCGGGTCTTGGAGGGGCCCCTGCAGCACCCCCCGGTACACCTCCTCTCTCCGGCCACACTGGCTGATGCTGGGTCCCCACACAGGCAGTGGTGCTTCGATCACACTGTCCCTCCCCTTGGAATCCTCCTGTCCCCATCACCTTTGACCCATCCTTTGAGGCCCACATCAGATACTCTGAGGAGCCTGTCTTCACCTCATGCTGGAAGCGAGCCTCCCCTGCTGAGCTCTTGAGTCACTAGGGGCCTGAGCATGTCCTCCCCTCCTTGCTGTCTGTGCACATGTCTTCTTCACCTCTGGGCTTAGAGCATTTTGGGCAGGTCCACGGTCACACTCAGTGACAGTCCCATTACTCAGGCTGTCTCTGCTCAATGGAGAAAGTGAAAGGAGCCAAGTGAACAGTGTACTTGGGCCCCCCACCCCCCACCTGTGCTCCGAGCGGTCATTGGTGGAAAGAGCGGACTTCTCCCCAGGGCACCGACTGAGAAGGGTTCGGACAGTTCTGACATTGACTGCACACCTTCTTTATGCACTCCCATGTATCATCCAACACCCCTCCCCGGTGGGTAGGATTATCCCCAGTGGCATGGAGTTGATGGCATGGAGGCTCAGAGAGGCGACATCCCTTGCCCAAGGCCACCCAGCCTGGTGGTGACAGTCCCTGAGTCTGGCTCCCATACTCATCAGCACCTGTTCATTTCTCAGCTGGGGCTGCTGGCTCTGAGCTCAGAGTGTTTCTTCTTGTGTGAAGTATTTTCTCTAGAAGGGACCACATTCTGCAAGCACACTTCACACTTTCTTTTCCCCACAGCTGATAGCCTGTGTGTGTTTGGTTTAGGGGATCATCCTGGCCGGCAGCAAGGAACAAAAAGCCAAATACCTGCCCAGGCTGGCATCTGGAGAGCACATCGCCGCCTTCTGTCTGACGGAGCCTTCCAGGTCTGCCCCCTGACAAGAGGTGCTGCACAGCAGCCCCTGGGGAACCTTCCAGGGCACCCTGGGATGAGGGCTCTGGATTTTGGCTCATAGCTCGTGGCTTTTCTTTCTTCCCTCCCTGAATCTTCCAGAGAGTCAGCTCAGCAACTTTTCTTGCCAGTTCTCTTATCTTTACCTTATTTCTCTGTCCTATGGATACTTAGGAGGGAGACAACATACCTGACAGCACCTATCAAGTAATTGTTTTGTGTCCACAGCACACCTTACACAGGATAAGCATTCAGGCTTCTAAGCAGCTTTGCAAGTGGTATCGTCCCCACTGAGCATGTTAGGAACCTTAGTTCAGTGGGGTTGTGTCATCAGCCCAAGATCACACGGCCGGCTTAGGACTCAGGGCTTCTGCTGACAAGTCCGTTACTTGGGCCGTGCTCCATCCGGAACAGGGGGTATCCTGCACTCCTCACAGGAGCTCACATGAGCCTGTTCTCTGCACACATTCCTGTGTTTAAACCTAAGCCCAGGAGGTTTTCACTGCCACTTTTTTTTTTTTTTTTTTTTTTTTTTTTTTTAAAGCCTAGGCCTGTTGTTTCAGAGTCTTTGTTTTAGTTTTTAGAGGAGGGGGGCAGAGGGGCAGAGAGACAAGGAGAAAGAGAATCCCAGACAGGCTCTGCGCTGACAGCACAGATCGATACAGGGCTTGAACTCACAAACCATGAGATCATGACCTGAGCTGAAGCGGGACGCTTAACCGACTGAGCCACCCAGCTGAGTGCCCCCACACTGCCACTCTTTGATGTGATAAAGCCGGGGTGGCCAGCCGGCCCCTGTCTTTGTAAATAGGGTTTTACTGGAGCACGCCATTTGTTTACAGGTTGTCTGTGGCCACCTGCGTGCCACAGCAGCAGAGCTGAGCAGGTGGGACAGACATCCTGCGGGCTGCAAAGCCGAATAGGTTTACTTTCTGGCCCTTTATTTTTAAGTCGGCGGACTCCCATGTTAAAGTACTAAACCGTCCATTTGTACCCCCCCAGAGACATTGTTCATCCCAGCATCACTCGCTTCAGCCACGTGTTTCTGTTTCTGCAGTGGGAGTGATGCGGCCTCCATCAAGACCAGGGCCACGCTAAGCGAGGACAAGAAGTACTACATCCTCAATGGCTCCAAGGTAGCGCTCCATGGCCTCTGTGGCCTGCTTGGGGGTCTCAGCCACAGCCTCCGCCACGCACTGACCGCTTCCTGCACCCCGTGGATCCTAAAGCGTGTACACCTCAGCTCTTGACTGGCAGCTCTTGGATGGATGCTTCTCTTTTTGAAAGAAGAAACTGGCTCGAGGTGAAGTGACTTGCCAGTGGCCTGTGTCTGCTCAGTGGTGGAACCGGGATTGGAAGCAAGCTGTCCTGCCTCCAGACCCTACACGCCTGTGCAGAACTAGCTGCCTTCCGGTAGCTGGGGCTGGTGTTGTGTGTTTGTGTTTTAATTGATTGCACAAAATTTCAAACAGACACAACAGTTTAGTGTAGTGAGGCTCCATGCAGCCGTCACCAGCTTCAGCAGTTACTCGCCCACGGCCCGCCGTGTCTCTTTGGTCAGCATTGCCCCCTCTGAGCGTGTGTCTCGGCCAGATAAGACTATTTAAAAAAACCCGTTGGTCATTTCTTCGTCTCTGGTCGTCTCATACCTTCTTATTTTTCAAATAATTTGTTTGAACCCAGATCTGATTAGGTTCCGTACATTGCAGTTTGTTGAGGAGTCTCTCTCTTGCCCTCTCCCTCCTTTTCCCGTTTCTTCTTTGCCTCTCCTCACTCCTTCCCGCCTGCTCTGTTTTCTTGAGGAAACCTGGCTGCTCGGTTCTAGAGCCTGAGCCGTCTCGGTTCCTCTGGCGTCTCTTCCGTGCACATGTGCACACACACGGCCACTTGTGCCTCTTGGGGAGATCCTTGCTCTTGGGAGATTGTGGTGATCCCCTGTCTTCTGCCCGTGCAGGCTTGGCTTCCCCCGAGCCGAGGGCTTTACGTTTGTGGCCTGAAATTTGACAGGCCCTGGAGCATCCTGTAGCAAAGATGGAGCTGAGAGGTGATGCGTAACAGTTTGGCTTTCTCCAAAGCCCTTTTTCTTTCTTCCCTCAGGTCTGGATCACCAATGGCGGACTGGCCAATATTTTTACCGTGTTTGCAAAGACACAGGTTGTTGATTCTGAAAGCTCAGTAAAAGACAAAATCACAGCATTCATAGTAGAGAGAGACTTTGGTGGAGTCACTAACGGGAAACCTGAGGATAAGTTAGGCATACGTGGCTCCAACAGTAAGTAGCATGCGTGTGTGTGTGTGCCTGCAGTATGTGTGTGTGAAAGAGAGCCGCCCTTCAGCCCCATCCAAATGCAAGATAAAATGAGATGTAAATAGTGTTGGTTTCACATAAGCATGTCAGCAAAATCACGTTAAGAATGCCACAGTGAGATCACGGCAGCTGGGTGGCCCAGTCGGTTAAGCATCCAACTCTTGATCTCCGCTCAGGTCATGATTTCACAGTTTGTGGGATCGAGCCCCATGTTGGGCTCTGCTCTGGCAGCGAGAAACCTCCTTGGGATTCTCTCTCCCCCTTTCTGCGCCTCCCTTGCTCATGCATTCTCTCTCTCTCTGTCTCTCTCTCAAAATTAAAAAAACCAAAAAACCACAGTGACTTCATGGCAGTGTAGAGGAGCTCTTCAAGCTAATTTATTCTTTCAGCTCATTTATGCCCCTCCCCACGCAGCAGGCACTGGCGATCTCCACGGGAGCTCATCACAGCCTCATGGAGCGCTCCGTCCTGTGAGGCAGGTGTAACGGACACCAGAGAGGTGTCTCAAGGAAACACTCCACTGCAGGACATCCCATCTTTCCTGCCTGGGACCTCCTCCTTCCTCTGGCGCTCCCTCATACCCGCCCAGTGCTGCCATGGAGTCCTGACAAGACTCTGCCTCTTGGGGATCCTAGCTTAGATCGTGGGGTGTCTGTGATGTGGGGACCAGCATGCTGCCCTCGGCACCTCTGGACCTGCTTGTTTGCCACTCTGTGTTTTGGCTGGCGATATTTGCCACAGCAGCCTGGTTCAGAGGGGTCAGAGGGGCCCTGAGCTCTAACCGGACTCCACCGCCTAGGAACTCTGTGACCTTGAACCAGCTAGCTTACTTTCCCGTGCCTCCGTTTCCTCACCTAAAGGAAAGGGGTGATAACAGAACCCACCTAGTAATGTGACACGGGAAGGAGGTGTTACAACGTCTGTACGATGCTTAGTGCACACGGAAGCGGGACAGTGTTAGCTCCTGCCATGTTCCCAGAGGGAAAGGAGCGTGCTCAAAGGCCCAAGGTAAAGAGCTTGGCGTGCTGGTGAGGGAAAGGGGGCCCTGACAGGGGAGGGAGCAGGGTGGCAGGCCTGCGCACTGCTTGGGCAGTGTCCACACTGAACTCAGGGTAGGTGGTGCCCCTGGGACCATGCAGTGGCCCCGCAAGAGTGGAGTGAGTGACACAAGTTGAGGTCAGAGAGGGAGGCAGAGTCCTTCCCACACTCCGCAGCTTGGTGAAGGAATTCGAGCCACTGGGACAAGCGCCTGGCCCCGCAGCCAAGGTGGTAAGCTAGGACCCGGCGGCCAGAGAGGTGGAGATTTCACTGTATTTCACTACCAGGCTGTTGGAATGGTAGAATAAAAGGTTAGTGGACCCAGTTGCCCACACTTGACTTGCCTGCTATGTGGCTGCTCTTGAGCCATGACCTTCTTTGTCCCGAGTCTCCCTTTCTTCCAGTGTTAAGTCGCTGGGAGTTGCAGTGTTTATGTGACAACGTGCAAAAGCACGCTGCTACAGAAAACATGGGTCAAAAGCCCCTGTTCTGTCCTGCCTCTGTCATCACCACTGCCATGCTTTCCCTTCTCTGCCTGCCTCTGTCACCTTGACCTTGGCTTTCTGCTTCTGCACACCAAGTGCTTCCTCACTTCAAGGTCTGCTCGTCCTCTGTCACCATCGTCACCTTTGTGAGAAGCCACCCCAGCACTGAGCTGACAGAGCGAGCCGTCCTCTCACTCAGCCTGCTTCAGGCTGTGGTTTGGCTCCCTGTCTGCCATGTGTCTGCCATGTGCGTGCCATGTTGGGGCATGTGTTCCTCACAGCAGATCACGGCCCCTGGGGGCCAAGCTGGCTCACACCTAAGGCCTTGGCTCATGTCGGGTCAGCTGTGTGTCCCTGGCGACAGCTAGCAGGGAAACGCAGTCTGCTTCCACAGAGTCACAGCGTAGGGTGTGGCTGCATCCAAGCTAAGTGGGACCCGTACTCCCATCAGATACAGGGACCTTACAAAGGCTGTGCTGTCCACTTTCATTGTTCCGCCTTTGCCTCTTGCTCCTCCTTCACACTTCTGCTGAATGTCAGCTTAGAAAATCCTGATGTAAGCCCTTGTCAAAAATATTATTCACCTCCTCTCCAACCTCTGATTTTGTCACCATGCTCTATTTTTTTTTAATATTTTTTTAAGTTTTTTAGAGAGAGAGCACGAGCAGAGGAGGGGCAGAGAGAGGGGTGGGGAGGGAGCGAGGATCCCAAGCAGGCTGTATGCTGTCAGCTCAGAGCCCAATGCAGAGCTTGAACTCCCAAACTGTGAGGTCAGGACCCAAGCTGAAACCAAGAGTCTGATGCTTAACGGACTGAGCCACCCAGGCATCCCCACCATGCTCTATGTATTTCCTCTGTAGCACTTACAACACCAACATGTTTCTAGCAAAGTATGAGCTCCACGCGGACAAAACCCTTGTCTTTCTGTATTGTCCTGTTGTAGCTGGAGAATGAATGAGTGAATGAATTTGTGCCTATGGGTCAAGTGCAGAATGGTTTGCATTTGTCAAGTAAAGCCTGCAATTTCATCTTTTTCAGCTTGTGAGGTCCATTTTGAAAACACCAGGGTGCCGGTCGAGAATGTCCTTGGAGAAGTCGGAGGCGGGTTTAAGGTGCGTGGTTAGAAAAGGCCCTGTGAGGGCTGCGGTTTCACGGTTTAGCTTGTTGGCCCCCCAGTTTCCTGTACCGTCCCTGTTTGTGGCCGACCGTGCACTTGCCAGGTGACTGCAGAATTCTCCACTGGGAAATCGGAGTGGAGAAGAGTTGGTTCCCAGAAGAGGGAGTGTGTAGTTGGAACTCCATCTCCTTCCTCTGCAAGGCTTTGTTTGCCTTGAGGAGGGTTAGGAGTCCTCTCTCCAGCGAGGGTAAGAAAGCAGGCCAGTGGGCGTTGAAGAAGCTCCAGTTCTCTGAATGCACAACCCTGGGTCCTGAGTCCCTGCCCTAATTTTTCTTGGAGTCAGATTTAGTATTGTTTTTAATTGACATGACTCACATAACATAAATATACCGTTTTCAAATGTACACATGGGTGTTTGTTTAATATATTCACTATGTTGTATAGCCATCCCCATGGTCTAATTCTGGAACATTTTTATCACTCCAAAAATGCCATACCTTCTCATGCTCCTCTCACCATCTTTGGTGTCGCTATTTTTCTGTTTCTGTGGATTTGCCTATTTTAAACGTCGCATACACGGAATCCATATGTGATCTTTTGTGTCTGGCTTCTCTTCACACAGCAGAATGTTTTCGAGGTTCACCTACCTTGTGGCACGTGTCATTCCTTTCTGTGGCTGAATAATACTCATCGTGTGGATACACCACACTTGCTAATCCATTCATCAGCTCATGGACATTTGCACTGTTTCCACTTTTAGACTATTGTCAATAATGCTGCTGTGAACATGCACGTGTAAGTCTTTGCGTGAACAATGTGTTTTCAATTCTTTAGGTATATACCTAGAAGCAACATTGCTGGCCATGTGGTGACTATATGTTTAACTTTTTGAGGAACTGCAGACTGTTTTCCAGTGGCTGCACCATGTTACGTTGCCAGCAGCGATGTAAGGAGGTCCATTTTCTCCACATCCTCACCAGTACTAATCTCTGCACCCAACATGGGACTCAGACTCACCACCCTCAGATCAAGAGTTGCACGCTCCACCACATGAGCCAGCCAGGCGCCCCTCCTTTACGCAGTTTTATACTGGGCTATTTGTCTTTACTGTTGCCCTGCCCTAATTTCATGGGTGACCCGGGCAAGCATCTTTGCCCTGGGGAGCCCCACCTACCTTGGCTATGAAGCGGGGATCACAGCAGTACCTTTCCCTTTCTGGGTGTTACAAGAATCTGATGAGTGCCATTAGCCAGAGCTCCTGGCCCAAGGCTGCCCGGTAGATGTCTACCAGAGGACTTTAGAGGTGGGCAGACAAAAAGGGAACAGTTGTATGCACACGATGGTATGTTTATCCCAGATGTTCTGTACAGGTAAGAGAATGTAGTTGGGAAAGATGAAATTACTGAAGGTTGACTCCAAGAGAGTTGATATTCATCGTTCAGTTTGGGTGCTTATCTTCCTAGATTTTGATCTTTTTAAAGAACATCCATCTCGTAAATATTTGGTAACGCCATTTGTGTAATACAGCCCGTAGTTTTTCGCTCACCAAGAATTCCAGTCTTGTCTTCGTGCCAGTGAATATATGTTGTTAATATTTCACGGTGCAGAATATCTTTGGGACGGCACCTTTGATGTTCCCAGTCCCTGAGATCGGGCACGCGGTACTGTTTGCACACCTTCCCTGCTCAGAACCAGATTGTGTGGTGTATGTCCTTGCTTGTAGCTGTACACACTTGTCCTGGGTTTAAACATCCAGCAGGAGACTTGCCAGGTGGGAGAGCACGAACGTTTGTAGTTCGTGGCCCCTGCTGCCAAGCTGCGTGGGGAGTTCGGCCGGCGCCCACCCACCAGCGGTGTGGGAGTGCCCCTTGCCCTAGTCCTTTCCACACTGCATTAACACATTGTTCCCATCGTGGTAGGTGAAAAAAAAAATTGTTTTAATATACAAAAGAAAGATTTCCAAAGCCCTCTCTTTGTTATTAGTAGGATTACTTGCCAGTTAGCCTAAACGCTAAACAGTGAGTGATTCCAGAGACCACAAAATGAGCAAAGGCCAGGGGAACATTGCCTGGCTGATGTGGGAGAAAAGTAAGCCTCTTCCTGTGGACAGAGGTTTTGTCCATGGTCAGATCTTTGAGGCATGGAGGTAGTGAACGGTCGGGCAGGGGCTGTTGAAAGCGTGGAGTATGGGTCTTGCTCGTGGGCAGGCCGCGATGTAGAATGCAGCTTAGAAATTATGGACGGAGAGGTCTGCGGTAGGGATGCTGTTGCAGCATTCTGGGGCTGCACAGGCAGGGGGTGGATCCCGGGGTTAAGTAGGATTGACACTTGAGCTCGGGAGCCCCTCTTGAGAAAGGGTGAGATCTGTTAGGTCGTTGGTCCTCTGGGGAATGAGACCTCGTCTCAAATCTTTTTTTCCTTCAAAATCAATTTTTTTAATGAGGTTAAGAATAAACTCTGAAGAGGCCACGAAACGGATTTCATTCGTAAAACTGTGAGCCGGCTTTCGCAAGCCTGTGTGGGCAGAGGGAATGAAGGTGGGGCGTTAGCATTCCTCATCATAGTCCTGGCAGGTCTAGACTGGCGCACACCCACGGCCCGAGACTCAGGGAGTGTGAGGCCGGAGGTGGCCCAGGAGGAAGCAGGGCAGGATCTGGGTGTCTGTCACACTGTGGTGGCGCATAATGGCACCCTCTCCATCCAGCACCCAGGGCTGGGCCTTATTCCCGCATTCCCGTGGGAACCGCACTCGCCCCTCCCAGCAGTTGTTGCCAACCTCACAAAGTCTGCTTTGAGATTCTCCTGTTCAGGTTAACAAGTGATCATAAATTCAGATTCGGCTGCATGATTTATTCACCCAAGTCCTCTATAAGCGTTCAGTCGAAAGCTGTAATACGCTTGAAGTTGAGCTTTTAACAAAACTGTGGTGTTCACAGACTCCTTCTGCCCTCAGCCCCAGCCTGCCTCTGAGGCATCACAGGCATGGTAGGGGCGTGGCAGGTCACTATTTCTCAGGAGTGGTGGGAAAGTCCAAGTAGCTTGCAGGGGTACCTGGTAGGTCTTAGTTTCTGCTCCTCTCCTCTGAGGACTAAGCATTGTCCTGTTCTGGAATAACGTGGGTGACTCCAAGGATGTTTGTGATTGAGTTACCTTGTTGTAACGTGTGGGGACTACTCTCTCTCCCAGCCCGGTGGGGATTGGCAGAACAACTTTCCCAGATGCTGGCACAGAATTCTGTACCGACTTGCCTTTTGTCTTCATGAAACCTGGTAAAAATAAGACAAGCAGTGCTGTGGTCTGGCCCTTGGGCTCTTCCCAGTCCAGCAGGGGTGAGCAGCTCACTTGGGCAGTGCAGTCCCAGTGAGCTACCCCCACTCTCCCTGCAGGTGGCCATGAACATCCTCAACAGTGGGCGGTTCAGCATGGGCAGCGTGGTGGCTGGGATGCTCAAGAAACTGATCGGTAGGTACATTGGGGACAGGAGCCTTTTGTGGCACAACCTTGCTCCTGCGGCCCCCGCTCCATCCCGGAGGCTCTGCCACGTCCTCGCAGCAGGCCGGTGCTGAGCCAGGCCACTGGACAGACAGCCCAGCTGCAGGTTAAGACGTGGGCTTTGGTTTAGACCAAAAGTTGTAGTCAGTCTGCGCCCAGGTGGCTAATGTTCCCATTTCACACTCCTCTGTTTTACTTACAAAGGATGGGGGGAGCCGGTGTAGTCTGCCAGAGGTCAAGAGGGGTTGCTACTCTGACCACTAAGAACAGAGCTACTTAGCAAACATCCAGATGTGAGCAGCACAGTAGTGCTATTTCTCACAAGATGCCCATTTTGTAGTGACTCAGTGGGTGAGGAGTGGGACTCCTATCACTTGGTTTCGGGATGTTGCCTTTGTTTTTTCCATTAGCATACCTGAAACCTAGAAGTTTTTGTCAGCGAACTTAACCCTGTAGGATTTTTGTTGGGCAAGGATGTCAGCTTTGTGGAAGTGACTGAAGGGAAAGGCACAGAGCTGAGGGTTACATGGAGGCTGGTAGAGTGCTTGTGAAGTCCTCAGTGCAGGGCCAGGTGGGGACAGAGAGGCTTTGTTTTAGGCTCTTCTCTCCATTTCATAGATGAGGAGCCTGAGACTCAGAAAGGATCACTCATTTGCCCGAGGCCACTCACCTGGGCCAAAAGCTGACCCTGTCAGACTCCAAGCTCCGGGCTCATCTCACTTTGCTGAGCTGCCACGGCCCCTGAAGCCGTCTGGGCCTCTGCTTCCCCTTCCCGGTCAGGAAAACTCAAGAAGCATGAGGAAGCAAGAGCTTCGTGGGGGCGCTCATGGTTAGCCTGTCTCCAAAGGATGTAGACTCTTGCGATCCCGAGGCCCAGAAGGAATGTGTGAATGTGGGTGCCTGTCTACCTCCTGAACCCATCATGGGGGCCAGACCGTGGTTGGATCACGCCTGTGAAACGTTCAGAGAACACCGCAGGGGGCGGGGCTGGCCTTTGCTGCCGACTGCTGGGAGGCTGCTGTGTCCTCTCAGGTGACCTCAGAGCTGGGCGCCTGTTCACAGCTATACACAAAACAGGCTGCCCTCCTGCTCTGGTGAGGGACGGCTGGGACAGGCGTGAGCCTGCACCTCTTGTCGGGGTGCTTCTGGGGCCCTGGCTCTCGCTAGGTGCCTTACACCTTCCTCTGATAACCTTGGCAGCCATGCTAGGAGGCCGGTAGTGTTGCTCAGGGATGTTGGCTGCTTGGCCCGGCCTACTATCTGGTAAGGAAAAGCACCAGGGTCGGGCCCGACTCTAAACTCTGTGCTTGTGCCCCTGTCCACTGCTGAGGCACCCGGAGAGTGGACGGCCGCTCCTCTGACCAGGTACACTAGGAAGGGGCAGCGCCATCTTGCAGGACGTTTGGTCTCAGCCGACCTGCTTCTCACAGCTCCTGCCTGAGTGTTCGCAGGGACTTGATGATAGCCTTAGGAGATCATTCTAGGATAGCCAGAAAATGGTTTGTGATGACTCTGCTCTTCTCCAGAAATGACTGCCGAATATGCCTGCACAAGGAAACAGTTCAACAAGAACCTCAGCGAATTTGGATTAATTCAGGTACTGAAGGTTGTGGGTGCTGCGTGTGTTGATTTCACGTGTGGGCGTTACACGTATGCTTTCGTGGTCTGTACTGGGGACTCTCGTGCAGCGGTTCGGAAGACGGCGAGATAACGTGCCTCCCTGTTCGGGATGCCGGGGCTTGGTTCTCTTGGGCACCGAGGCTTTGGCCTTAATTGCCTTCTCTGCTGGCTGGCACATCTGGGTCTCAGCACATGCAAATTGTTTCTTGATTGTGTTTTTTTCTGAACACCCCAGGAAAAGTTTGCCCTGATGGCTCAGAAGGCTTATGTAATGGAAAGTATGGCCTACCTCACCGCAGGGATGCTGGACCGACCAGGGTTTCCTGACTGCTCCATCGAGGCTGCCATGGTGAAGGTAATCCCCGCACAGCCCGGGAGAGAGCAAGAACAGCTCCTTAGCTGTGGCCTTTCAGACCCAGTGTTGCCTGCCACCTTCCTCTTCTCTTTAGCTGATAGGCCAGTTTATCATCGACCCAGTATCTGTGGTGTCCCCACCATGTGCCAGGTACCGCCCTAGGACGCACGTGGAAAGACCAGGATAGCATAGGAGAAGCAGCAAAGAACAGTGCCCAGTTGAGTGCGTTTCTAGGACAGGTCAGTGTCTCCTGAGCACAGTTTGTGCCAAGTTGTCTCCCGTCTGTAGCAGATGGAGAAAAATCTAGGCCACGTATGTAATTTCACGTCAGTATAAAACAGCAGCCAAGCTTTCTTAGGACTTTTGTTGTGAGTGTTCAGCCTTCCTGTTTTTTGGGTAAATACTGGAGTTTTCAGTACCTTCATTTTGGGGAGGGGGGCGGTGAGGAGTGTCTTTTTTTTTTTTTTTTTTTTTTAAGCTCCAGTATAAAAGAGGCATCCCTGGTTCAGGAGAAGTGGTGAGAGGAGCTCAGAGGAGAGACCCTGCTGTGTCTCGAGGTGCTTTAGAGGCACCGTCAGTAGGTCTCTGTGCCAGGCACTTTGCATTCACTGTGCCCCCTCATCCTTCAACGGACACAGAGACACAGGATCTGCCTCCTGGATCCAGCCCTCCCCTGCCCAGAGGCTGAGCTCCCAGCCGAGCAGGACAGTGATTTTGCTGTCCGGGTGCTCAATGCAGGACAGATTTGTGTCACCCACCAGCCTGGTGTCGGGCCAAGCAGCTCTTGTGCAGAGGGGTGACAGTGGGGTGAAAGGGCCTGGGTGGGCAGGGTGGGGGCCTCTGGAGGACAGGAGATTCCTCTGTGGGGAAGGCGGTGTGCAGAGTGTCCCTTCCACCGGGCAGGAAGCCCTGAGGTGAGGGAGGGAGGAGTCACAGTGAGTGGGGGGCCAGAGGCCGGTCAGCCAGGTCCAGGAAGCAAAGGACTTGCCTGAGGCCTCCCCGGGAGATTGCATCGGGGCTGCTACAGTGGTGCTCGGGTCTCCCATCCTAGAGACCAGTTCTCCGTGCCCAGTCACCCCGCCCTGGCTAAGGCCCCCTCGTGGAAGGGACTCGGCCCTGCCGTCCCCGTGCTGACCGTGTCCTGGGTCTGTGGCAGGTGTTCAGCTCAGAGTGCCTGGCAGTGTGAGCGAGGCGCTGCAGATCCTCGGGGCTCAGGCTGGCTACAGAGGACTGCCTGCATGAGCGCATGCTGACGCGCCCGCATCCTGCTCATCTTCGAGGTGAGTGCCCGCCTTCCGCTCTCTACCACCACCCACCCTGAGCGCTCTCGTTTGTCCCTCCTCACAGAGCCCCTTCCCCAGGCGTGGAGGGGAGGCCACGGGGCCAAGCAAGGGCCTCTTCCGAGCCTGCCACTTCCGTTGGCTATGTTGAGACAAGCAGAGATCTCATGGGAGGGCCTGGTTCTGCCTCCAGGGCTCTATCTGGGTCTGGGTTTCCTTCTCTGGATATTGAAGCAGCTGAGGGTCCTCTCCATGGGCTTCCCCAGCCCTGACCGCTCCCTCTCTAATTACTGCCTCCTTCCATGGGCTCACAAGCCTAAAGAGGGACTTCAGTGAGTGGGGAGAGGCCGAGTGGGGTAAGGAAAGGGGACGTGGGGGCCGCCGAGAAGCTCTCAGGGAGCTCATGGTCTGACTGCACGGCCAAACTAGTGCAGTGAGGGCCTGAGGTGCCCCTCCCCCTAGATCAGCTGGAGTCTCAGGAAGCAAGTGCACTGGGCCCCTGGCGGCAGAAACAACTTGGGCCTGGCCTAGGGGAGGATGGTTTGGGCCAGGCACAGGAGATGGAGTATGCCAGGCCCAGACAGGGCCTTGCCTGCCAGCACTAGGTAGAGTAAGCAAACCTTTGTGGGAGCAGCAGATAGTCCTGGTTGAGGGGAGCTGGGGCAGAAGGTAGATAAGAAGGAGAGGCAGGTAGCCAGGCTGTGGAGGACTGTGGCCAATAAGCAGAGTCTGGATGTTACTGTGAAGGTGCTGGAAGCCGTCAGAGGTTTCTGGGCAGGGAGTGACTCGGGTACATTCCCGTTGTGGGAGATTCCCTGGGGCTGACATTGGGGGTTGGTTGCAGAGGTGAGACCAGAGGCCGGGTGCCCGCAGCAGAAGAGAGAGGTTGAGTCCAGAGGCTGTGGAGATGGATGGGATTTCAGGATGCACGCAGGCTGTAAGAGAGGCAGGCCCATGGACCAGGCTCGGAGCCTGAGCAATTGGTGTGGTTTCTGAAGGGCCACCTTCAGACCATGTGCAGGTGGGGCCCCGCTCCTGGGCTACCAACTCAGGGGAAGGCCTCAGGGTGTGCCCCCCACATCCCAGCCCCTGTGGTCCTCTTTCTTAGTGGATACACAGGATGTGACCAGCCTGAAGTCATGAGTCCCAAGGGCACGGGGATGCATCACATTCCTGCTGCCCCAGGAATGCTTCTTCCGAGGCCCCATTCCTTCGGCCTGGTTGAATTCAATCCTGTGTGACTGGGTGGGGCAGAAGCTCTGAGGGGCACGGACCCCTCGGTGCGAAGCAAATGCTCTAGTCTAGACTGCGAGACGGGGCATGGCTTGGCCTGCAGTCCTCCAAGCTCTCCTTCCTCTCCCATGGGAGTCTCCCGTCCATGGCTCAGCCTGGCTGTAGTGCTCAGTGTCCCATGCTGGCTGTGTGACCCGCAACCCCACTGGCTCCCTGAGATAATCCCGGGGAGTAAGTGGTGTGCGTGGGCACAGCAGCAGGTACTGACACCTGGTACTCGGGCACGGTCGGAGGCTGCCCCGAGGAATCTGGTGGTGCCCACACAGCGCTTGCTGCGCCCTGGGCATCAGCATCCCTCCCCACTGGGGAAAGTGGCTTCTCTCATAAAGAAGCCAAAGTAGAGGCTTGGAGAAAGGATTGACTCCTGTGCAGTTGGTCATAGAGAATTGGTAGGTCCCTAGGGAGGCCATGGTTCTCTGGTCAGCCCGCAACTCCTCCCCATGGAGGTGGTAGCCAGCGTGTTGCCCTGACCCTCAGGTCACAGCCCTGCTCCCTTTGTGAGGCCGCTTCCAAAAACGGCAGCTTCTGTAGCACTGACAGGTGGGCAGTGGTGTGGCCTACCCAGTCACGTGCACAGCACAGGCAAGGCCATCCCGAGGGGGCAGCCTCTGACCTCCATACTGCTGGCCACAGGGAACCAACGAGATTCTCCGGATGTACATTGCCCTGACGGGCCTGCAGCACGCCGGTCGCATCCTGACCGCAAGGATCAAGTAGGTGCCAGCCCCACTGTCTGCTCCTCGGGTCCCACCTGCCCGTCAGAGGCCCATCCCAGGGCATCTGGAGGAGGGAGGCCGCCCTGTCCCGGTGAAGCCATGCAGTACTCAGCTCAGTCGCAGGCTGGCTGGAGGGAGGGAAGGGGACAGGAGCCTTGAAATGAAAAGCCGGGCTCCAGAGCTTGGCCTGCACCTGCAAGTGATGGGAGAGTCCGCTGCCTCAGGAAGTCACGGGCCGCCTCCACTGACAGCTCTTGCCTCCCACACTGCCGGGAGCTGTGTTCTCAGAACCTAGGGAATGAGAGGTAACCCTCAGGTGCTGGGCTCCCAGGCTAACAGGAGACCACTTCCTTCTCTCCCTCATGGCTCCCCTGGACCCCCGTCATGGGCTCGGAGCAATTAGAAATCACTGCTGGAACCCCGTACGGGTTGCTGAGACTATTTGCAGACTCCTTAACCCGAGAGCACCTAGGGGCCGGCTGTGACTGCTGCTTGTGGAGAGAACTCGTGTGGCTCCACTCAGAGGGACCAGCTGCTCTGACAAGCGTGCAGCAGGCCCAGGCCAGGGTGGGCGGCACATAGGTCTTGAGTAGGTCCCTTTAATGCCTTGGATAGTCCTAGGGAAGAGGTGCCCTGCAGTTCTGGTGTGCCACTAGGGACCCTGTTGCTGGGCAGTGGAAACCAGCAGTGGGGCCTGAGTTCGTGGGGCCATGGGCTTTCTGCAGTGAGCTTAAACGGGGCAATGTGAGCACTGTCATTGAGACCATCAGCCAGAAGCTTCGAGACTCCGTGGGCCGAACCGTGAACATGGGGCTGACAGGGAAGCTGGGAGCTGTGCACCCCAGTGTCGCGGTGAGTGGGCACAGCTGGCATACCCCCCATCTGGGTGCCCTTCCGGGGGATGTCCCTTTCCAGAGGGCTGTGCCCAGGGCGTTGGGGAAGATGGCCCCTGCCTGGTAGCAGAGCCTGGGCCCCAGAGCCCCAGCCGTGCCGTGTCTGGGTAGGATGGGCACCATGGGGAGGGGACACTGAGCAGTGACTCCTCTGACATACTAGGACAGCGCCAGCAAGCTCGAGGAGAATGTGTATTACTTTGGCCGCACTGTGGAGACATTACTGCTCCGCTTTGGCAAGGTACCTGGGCCCCTGCCAGGTCTGGGGAGGGCAGGCCCCCTCCGACTTGGGAGCCAGGGAGATGGGCTGTCTGAAGTGTCCGCCTTTGGGACCAGGCCTAGAAAGAAATCTTGGTCACCATGGAGGCATGGGGTGGGGCTGGCTGTGCCAGGGGCCACTTGGGTGGGTGCCTTCCAGACAGAGAGAGGCTCCTTAGAGCCCAAATCTAGGGCTGTTGCTGCTCCCGGTGACATGAAGCACAGTAAGCACCAGCCTGTGTCTCAGTTTCCTGGGACCTGGTCTCACCTTGACCCCTGCCCAAACTGAGACAGAAGGGAAAACCGGGCATCCGGTGAGCCAGCCTCCCCCAACCCAAAGGGAGAGGCCGTGTTAGGCATGAATTGAGGCCTGGAGGTTGGTGAAGATGTGCCCGGGGAGGGAGGTCGTGGGCGGCGAGCCTCCACCCTGGGCTCTGTGCTCCCAGACCATCGTGGAGGAGCAGATGATCCTAAAGCGGGTGGCCAACATCCTCATCAACCTGTACGGCATGACGGCGGTGCTGTCGCGGGCCAGCCGCTCCATCCGAGTGGGGCTCCCCAACCATGACCATGAGGTAAGTCTCCCTGCCCGCTTAATCCTCTGAACTTTAATGAGGCCAGTGGTTGGAGGAGGGGGTCAGCGAGCGGCATGACCCAGTCAAGGAGTCTCAGGAGCGAGGGACTGGGCAGGTCAAAGGCCTCAGCCCGGTAGTGGTCCAGGAGGCTGCTGGTTTGCTGAGTTGTGGCCGCGGCCCGCACTGGCGGTCAGCTCTGAGGAGGAGGTCTGTGCTGCTCAGGACACAGGGTACTCCCTTTTGTCTTCCTACCTGAGGGAAGAGGAGTGGGTGAGTGAGGAGGGTCCCAAAGCTGTGCCCTCCTCCGGCTGCCTTCCTTACCCTGCCCTAGGGGCCGGATGCCGTAACTGAGCACCTGCCGTATGCATTGTCCCACAATAGCCTGTGGGCACTAGGATTATGATGGCCTTCCTGCCACAGAGGAAACTAAGGCTCAGAGTGTCGCATAATTAGCTAACTAGTTGGGTCAGGGCTGGAATTAGAATAACGACTCTGGCTCCTGAGCAAGGCCTTTTGACTCCAGCCAAGCTGCTTAGTTTGGCTGATGGAGTTCCTTAAAGCTCACACACCAGAAAGGGGGTGCCCTATGTCATCTCTAGGTCTCTATGTCAACTCTTTAACCTTGGTTCTGGCAGGTTCTCCTGGCCAACATATTCTGTGCCGAAGCTTACTACCAGAATCTCTTCACCCTGTCCCAGCTGGACAAGTGTAAGTAGGGTGGCCTTGGGGGTGGGAGGGGAGGGCCTAATTCCAGGTGACTGTTGATGGTGAGCTGCTCCTGGCCCCTGTCAGGCTCCCAGGGCCTGCTGGCTGTTCACCAACCTCTCCCTTGAGTGACGGAGGGTCAGCTGGGCTGGCCTGCCGGGCAGGAGCAAAGGCTGTCAGAGTCCCCACAGGTGTCTGCCCAGCATGCCTAGCCCCAGTCTGGCAGCTGCCTAGTGAAGGTTTGCAAAGGCAGGCAGCGTTTTACCTGCCTCTTCACCCCCTGCACTCCGGGGAAAATCAGTCTGCCTTCTAGCAGAAGTCCCAGGCTTTGGCTCATGCAGCTGTTGGTCTGGAATGCTCCTCTTCTGTAGCCACTTGGCCAAGTCTGGGAACACCCGGCTCACATTCTTCTTCTGACCCTTATGGTCATTTGGCCTCAAGGCTCTGTGTCACGTGTCCCCTGGAGAGCCCACCCCTGTTGCCAAGTGACGGAGGAGAGGAGCCCGTGATCGTGTACAGCTCCTGGCCCTGGGTGCTGGCATGTCTGTTACGTGCTGTGGAGGGAGACACGCTTGCTCCTCTGGCAGGCTTGCCTGGGGAAAGGGTCCTTCTCCAGCCCCTGCTCCCACAAGATCCAGGGTTCTTCGGGGTTACCAGGATGAACCCTTTGGTTTACGGGATGAAGCCCCTCTCCCTCCTTTCTCCCTGCAGCCAGAATCACCTCCTTGGGGGTTTGGAGGAAGAGGGTCACCTTCAGGACTCCCTTCACAGTGGGTGGGCTGTTCTTTGAAAAAAAAAAAAAGAAGTTCCAGGAATATTTCTGTTATCACAAATCTATTCTTTTTTCCTCCCAGATTCTCCAGAAAATCTAGATGAACAGATTAAGAAAGTGTCCGAGCAAGTCCTAGAGAAGCGAGCTTACATCTGTGCCCACCCCCTGGAAAGGACGTCCTGAAGCAAGAGGACAGTGTTCCTGCTGCCCCCAAGCCATGGCCCGTCGCTGGACAACTCTTTCTCCAGAAGGTGGAGGACTTGGGGTTTTTTACAAGTGGAACCGTTTCTTCCCAGTCTATACCAAAAGGGCCTTCTCCTGGCCTCAAGGCACCTCTTTAGGCTTTGCCCTGCAGGCCCTGCTGCTTGACCTGATCCCAGGTGCTGAAGAAACGGAGAGAAGGCAGTTGGTGACACCTGGGATTTGAGGGGCTTCTGCTAGTTTAGTGGGAGACGTCGCTGCCTGTGGCACGAGGCTGGTGGGGACCTGTTTCAGGCTTGGGGAGCTGCTTCTGCCGGACCACACATTCTTCTGGTGGGCTGTGCGTTCTCCAAGAAACCACCTGCCAACTGTGTACGTGGAACATATACACTTAAAACATATACTGGGAACTAACGAAAACCAGGAAACGTAGTTTGTGTTTCGGCCTTTGCCGCACTGGTCACGTTTTTCCTCAGAGCCCTGGGATCCCCCCTCTGGTGATGACCTCCAGTTCCCTTTGTGTTCACCCCGCAGGAAGAGGAAGGCCCTGAATGCTGAGGGGCAGGTGCCCAGGCCACAATGCTCCAGGGAGTACCAAGTCCCTGTCTCTGGGCTTTCTCGGGTGATGGGTGAAAACCATATGGTCGGCTGCATGACAGCATATGCTGTTTCTTGCCTGGGGCCTGTCTCCTGTCTCTATAGAAGTTGGCCTTCACTCTTGAAGGGGGGACAAAAAGGAATCTTGAGGTGACACTAATAGACCTTTGCATTTCTCTAGACTCTTTTCTGATGTTGTTAGCCAGATGCCTTAGTCCCTGCGTGCTCACACTGGCATGCTTCCAGGCTTCACCTGGTCCTGAGAAGTTTGGGGCTCCAGAAAGCCCGCTTTGGCCATCACCTGGAGGTGGGAGGAGGCGGCCAGGCCCTTCCCTTTCCCTTCAAGTACAAGTCAGTCTGCACGGACGGCTGGCCTGAGCACTCCGCCAGGGTTTGGGGAACTAATCTTCAAGAGGTAAAAGTTTACAAATCTCAACGTGACTTTCCAGTGAAACCTGACGTTCTTAGTGTTTTGTTCGCAGGGAAGCATTCTGTACAAAATGGAGAGTACTAACCTTCTAGTATAGTGCCAGGACCGGAGGCTGCATGGAGCACCTTTGCCAGGGAAGCATCTGTTCAGACCTCCCGCCCCGAGGGCAGCCCTCGGGAAAGGGGCTTCACTGTAGGCCTGGAGTCATGGTCACCCCTGGCGGCAGCTGGTTCTCTGCATCCAGCTGAGTTTCAAAGGCTGGGGCCCCTGGTTCAAATCTCCCTTTCCCACCTGCCGTTTCCGAGTTTTCCTTAAACACATTGTGGGGAGGAGAGGCCCCAGCGTGCGTCTGTGGCCTGCTGTCAGCTGGCACTGGCTACCCACCGTGCCCAGGGAACGCGGCTTGGGAAGGCCTGCAGTGGGGCCTGGCATCACTGGGCCGGGCCAGGAGACCTTCATGCAGCCCCAGAGCCTATTCCAGAGGGAGGCAGCAAGGGCCAGACAGGAGGGAGGCCAATTTCAGCAGCCTGCCAGCATTTCCTCCTGTTTCTCAGAGCTGTTACCCACTGCCCTCAGGGCTTGCGGGAAGAAAGAAATCCATTTTATCTATCTGGTCTAGCTTTCTGAGAAAGGTTTCTCTGGCAAACCAGAGATGAGTTTCTCTCTCCTCTCTCTCCCTGAGCAAAGGCTCTGGCAACCAACAAGTCTGGATTCTCTGTTAACCTGTAAATGAGGCCCATCTTCATAAACAGGGTGAGAGGGACCCATGCTCCTAGGCTCCCTCCCTCCCCCAGAGAGGGATGGCAGCATCTTGGAAGGGAGTCAGAAGGTCCCAGAGGTGCCCAGAGCCCCTGCCCCCAGCCGCTGGCCAGGCATCCATCCAGTCCTGGGTAATGTGTGTTGGGGCTCAGAAAGCCCTTAGACCTATCTTCCGACTTCTGCGTTTTGTAAGAAACCAGACCCAGAGCAGTGAAGCGACTTGCCCAACGTCACACAGCAAGTTAGCATGACAGCTGGAATTAGAATCCAGGGCCCCTGAGTTTTCACCCAGCCCGCTAACGCCAAACCCAAATC